GGAGGACCGACCGGGAACCGTAAGGTTTCTTGCCGAAAATAGTCCCAGGGCATTCACGGCTAAGTCCCCCTGAAGTCTATTTGCGCTTGGTCGCCACCACGTGTTCGAATGTCGAATGGTGGCCACTTTGACTGTTCAGGAGTTCAAAGAACCATTGTTTAAAGTCCCAATAGCCACAAATAGGGTCTCTCAGCCAAAACAAATTAAAGGGGCCATAGTCACAGGGTAAAAGGCTGGCAAGTAGTCCCCTCCAAAACCCAGTGGCAAAATGGCTTTCGTCACACCAGTATTCCTTTAGCCAACATTCTTTTACGGAACATTCCGCCAATAAACATTCCTTTACCCAACATTCCTCTACCCAAGATTCCTTTACTAAGCACTTATTTAGCGAACATTTTTTAATCTAACATTATTTTACTCAATGTTCCTTTACCCAGTATTCCTTTATCCAGCATTCCTTTACCCAACATTCCTTTACCAAGCACTCATTTGTAACAGAGCTCAAGTACTCTGACCGAGTACCTCCACCAAGTATGCTTCCTCGTAGCTATCAGGGACACTGGGGCACTTCAGATCCAGTTGCACAGGCTTGACTGGGATCACTGAGGGTCTTTTCCACACTGTACCAAACACTAGATGACACTTGGTGAAGGTTAAAACAACAACTAACTTTACTAGACATAGCACACATATTTTAAGCCACCAACAACCTCATTTACATACAATGGGGCATTGACGAGAACTTCTTTCATGGCTTTGAACGCTGTCTCACATTCTGGGGACCACAGGACCTGCCTAGGTAAGTTCTTTGTGGTCAAGTCAGTCAGGGGTTTGGCCATTGTACTATAGTCTGTAATAGCCGGCTGTTTCTAGGAAAGCCATGACTTGTGTCTTGGTACGGGGAGTGGGCCAGTTAGCAACAGCCTTGATCTTAGCGAGTTCGGGAAGTTGTTTTCCACATTCCAGATACTGTACCTCCGCCATACCAATGTGATACTTGTCTGGATTCAAGGTTAGGTTGGCTCCCCTAATCCTGTCTGGTACGGTCCCTACGTGTTCACTTCCCAGATGTCACTGTATATGGCTATGTCATCCAGATATGCACAAGCATAATCCTGGAGACCATCTCAGAGGCGATCCACCATCCATTGGAAGGTGGCTAGGGCATTCTTCATTCCAAACGGCATAACCCGGAACTGATATAAGTCGAACGGACTGACGAAGGCCAATTTGGGAATGACCTCCTCTGCTAAGAGAATCTGCAAATGCCCTTTGCAGAGGTCAAAAGTGGTCAGATAACGTCCCCTAGCTATACGGTCTAATAATTTGTCTACCCTGGGCATAGGGTAGGCGTTGGTGACCGTCTTGTCATTTAGCCGCCTGTAGTCTACGCAGAGACAGGTCGTGCCATCCCATTGTGGTACTAAGACTACAGGTGAGGCCCAAGGACTCTCGGAGTGTTCAATGACCCCTAAGCGAATCATCTAATTTATTTCCACATTCCTTCCTTGACTGCTTTGGGAATGCGGTATGGGGATTGTCTTAATGGGCCTCACTTGGGGTGTCTTGGTTCTTGGGAGAAGGTTGCCTGTTTGGTTTCCAGCAGTTGGATCATTTGGGCCCCTTCCTGGGTCCCCAGCCAATCCCCTAGCTGTACCAACTCTAAGGCTCCTTTTCCAGGGTCAGCTCCTAACAAGTAGGGTAGGGGTAGGGCATCAGGATCCTCTGATGCTGGGGTGCACACTGCAGCCTCTTCTCCATCTCTGCC